ATCTATTTATGGATCACACCATAGTCAAAGACAKCTATAAAAGTGCATATTAAACATTATTATTATTAWWATTAWTTAWTAWTAATAATAATGKTTTAATATGCACTTTTATAGATGTCTTTGACTATGKTGTGMTCCATAAATAGATAATAATMATTTCARATATTCACCCCATCTCAGCCTAAATAATAATAATAATAATAATAATAATAATAATAATAATGTTTTAWTATGMACTTTTATAGATGTCTTTGACTATGTTGTGCTCCATAAATAGATAATAAATAGATAATAATTTCAAATATTCACCCCATCTCAGCCTTAAACTAGAATATTATTATTATTATTATTATTATTATTATTATTAGCTGCCATTTTCTCTCTGCCATATAATTGTTAATACCCCACTGAACTAAAAATCCCATGACTCCAAAGTGTCATTATTATTACTATTGTCATTATTATTATTATTATTATTATTATTATTATTATTATTATTATATTGTCATTATTATTATTATTACTATTGTCATTATTATTATTATTATTATTACTAATATCATTATTATTATTACTGTCATTATTGTTATTATTAGTGCCATTAGTGTCATTATTATTAGTGCCATTATTTTTATTAGTAGTACTAGTAGTAGTAGTATCATTGTTATTATTATTATTATTATTATTATTATTATTATTATTAAAGTGGAATCATAGTGCTATTGTTTAGTACAGAAGATACCTTAATTTCTCATCAATGCAACTAGCCGTAAGGCAAGAATAGTTGATTTACTTACTATATATACAATACATACATTAAGAGAGAAACAAACCATTTCTGTGTCCAGAAAATCATTATTTTTCAGCTTCCAATCAGTATACCCTTTTCCAAAGTGTTAAATATATCATCTACAAAGGTGTTAGTCATCAATCCTTGCGAAGTTTTTAAATAAAGGCTAGGTGGCTATCTATTGGGAAGGCTTTGATTGTGTCTTCCTGCCTGACAGAAGGGGGTTGGACTAGATGGCCTCTTGGGTCTCATTCCAACACTAAGATTGCCCTTAAATCTATAGTCGCTGGGTACAATGTCCATTCAAAAGGCTACAGATCCCAGAACGTTTGATTTCGAGCGAAGCTGAAACGAACGTGTTTTGACCCATTAAATTCCGAAACTTACGTGAAATCACTTCTGGGATCCCAGCGACAGAAATGATTTTCTCCAAAAAGTGCCCAAGTGCCTCGTCATCCTGCAATTCAAGGTTGGAAAAAACGTTATAAACTGTGGAAACTGGGTTTTTATGGTATGTATTATCTGAGAAAATAGCCTCGTATTATTATTATTATTATTATTATTATTATTATTATTATTATTATTATTATCTTTACTACTATTTCTGACTTATGGTGACCTGAAGGCAGTTGTGGATATGTTGTTGTTGTTGTTGTTGTTGTTGTTGTTGTTTCTGACTTATGGTGACCCTAAAGCAGTTGTGGTCATATTATTATTATTATTATTATTATTATTATTATTATTATTATTATTATTATTATTATTATCTTTACTACTATTTCTGACTTATGGTGACCTGAAGGCAGTTGTGGATATGTTGTTGCTGTTGTTGTTGTTTCTGACTTATGGTGACCCTAAGGCAGTTGTGGTCATATTATTATTATTATTATTATTATTATTATTATTATTATTATTATCTTTACTACTATTTCTGACTTATGGTGACCCGAAGGCGGTTGTGGATATGTTGTTGTTGTTGTTTCTGACATATGGTGACCCTAAGGCAGTTGTGGTTTATTATTATTATTATTATTATTATTATTATCTTTACTACTATTTCTGACTTATGGTGACCTGAAGGCAGTTGTGGATATGTTGTTGTTGTGGTTGTTGTTTCTGACTTATGATGACCCTAAGGCAGTTGTGGTCATATTATTATTATTATTATTATTATTATTATTATTATTATTATTATTATTATTATTATTACTACTATTTCTGACTTATGGTGACCTGAAGGCAGTTGTGGATATGTTGTTGTTGTGGTTGTTGTTGTTGTTGTTGTTTCTGACTTATGGTGACCCTAAGGCAGTTGTGGTCATATTATTATTATTATTATTATTATTATTATTATTATTATTATTACTATTATTATCTTTACTACTATTTCTGACTTATGGTGACCTGAAGGCAGTTGTGGATATGTTGTTGCTGTTGCTGTTGTTGTTGTTTCTGACTTATGGTGACCCTAAGGCAGTTGTGGTCATATTATTATTATTATTATTATTATTATTATTATTATTATTATTATCTTTACTACTATTTCTGACTTATGGTGACCCGAAGGCGGTTGTGGATATGTTGTTGTTGTTGTTTCTGACATATGGTGACCCTAAGGCAGTTGTGGTTTATTATTATTATTATTACTATTATTATTATTATTATTATTATTATTATTATTATTATTATTTTACTACTATTTCTGACTTATGGTGACCTGAAGGCAGTTGTGGATATGTTGTTGTTGTGGTTGTTGTTTCTGACTTATGATGACCCTAAGGCAGTTGTGGTCATATTATTATTATTATTATTATTATTATTATTATTATTATTATTATTGTTATCATCATTATTAGAAACACAACACGATGAGTCCACAGCAGACTCTGCTGTGGACTCATCACTCTGCTGGCTGTTGTATTGGATCACACGTCGGACACTTCCCAAATGTCTAGGACTGTGTGATGTTTCAATGAATAATGTGTGTAGATCCCAGTAAGGTGGCCTTCTGCAGCTGGCAGATGGTAATTTTGTCAGCGCCGATTGTGTTTAAGTGCAGGCCAAGGTCTTTAGGCACTGCACCCAGTGTGCCGATCACCACTGGGACCACCTTGACTGGCTTGTGCAGAGTCTTTGCAGTTTGATCTTGAAATCCTCGTATCGTGTCAGCTCTTCCAGTTGCTTCTCATCAATCCTGTTGTCACCTGGGACTGCAACATAGACGATCCACACTTTGTTTTTTTCCACGATTGTGAGGTCAGGAGTATTATACTCCAAAACTCTTGTCTGTCTGAATTGGGAAGTCCCAGAGTTGCCTGATGCGTTCCTTTTCTGTAACTTTTTCAGGCTTGTGATCCCACCAGTTCTTTGTCGCAGGCAGATGGTCTTTGTGGCACGTTGCAATGAATCATCTGAGCAACGGTGTTATGCCTCTGCTTGGAGTCTGTCTGCACAATCTTCTTGCAGCAGCTGAGGATGGGATCTATTGTTTCATCTGCTTCCTTGCAGAGTCTACACTTGGGATCTGTTGTCAGCATTTCAATTCTGGCTTTGATGGCATTGGTTATTATTATTATTTCTAACTTATGCTGACCCTCAGGCGGTTGTGGTTATGTTGTTGTTGTTGTTGTTGTTGTTGTTGTTGTTGTTGTTTCTGACTTATGGTGACCCTCAGGCGGTTGTGGGTATATTATTACTATTACTATTATTATTTCAGACTTACGGTAACCCTTAGGAGATTGTGGTTACATCATTATTATTATTATTATTATTATTATTATTATTATTATTATTATTATTATTATTTCTGACTTTTGGTGACCCTCAGGTGGTTGTGGTTATATTATGACATTATTATTATTATTATTATTATTATTATTATTATTATTATTATTTCTGACTTTTGGTGACCCTCAGGTGGTTGTGGTTATATTATGACATTATTATTATTATTATTATTATTATTATTATTATTATTATTTCTGACTTTTGGTGACCCTCAGGTGGTTGTGGTTATATTATGACATTATTATTATTATTATTATTATTATTATTATTATTATTATTATTATTTCTGACTTTTGGTGACCCTCAGGTGGTTGTGGTTATATTATGACATTATTATTATTATTATTATTATTATTATTATTATTTCTGACTTTTGGTGACCCTCAGGTGGTTGTGGTTATATTATGACATTATTATTATTATTATTATTATTATTATTATTATTATTATTATTATTATTTGACTCAGTTGGTGACCCTCAGGTGGTTGTGGTTATATTATAAATATTACTATTATTATTATTTCTAACTTTTGCTGACCCTCAGGCAGTTATGGTTATATTATTACTATTACTATTGCTATTATTATATCAGACTTATGGTAACCCTCAGGAGATTGTGATTACATTATTATTATTATTATTATTATTATTATTATTATTATTATTATTTCTGACTTATGCTGACCCTCTGGTGGTTGTGGTTATATTGTAACTATTAATATTATTATTACTTCTGACTTATGGTTACCCTGAGGTGGTTGTGGTTATATCATACCTATTACTATTATTATTATTCCTAACTTATGCTGACCCTCAGGCTGTTGCAGTTATGTTGTTGTTGTTTCTGACTTATATTGACCCTCAGGCAGTTGCGGTTATATTATTACTATTACTATTATTATTTCAGACTTACGGTAACCCTCAGGAGATTGTGATTACATTACTATTATTATTATTATTATTATTATTATTATTATTATTATTATTATTATTTCTCACTTATGGTGACCCTCTGGTAACTATTACTATTATTATTATTTCTAACTTATGCTGACCCTCAGGCGGTTGCAGTTATGTTGTTGTTGTTGTTGTTTCTGACTTATTGTGGTTATATTATTACTATTATTATTATTATTTCAGACTTACAGTAACCCTCAGGAGATTTTGGTTACATCATCATCGTTATTATTGTTGTTGTTGTTGTTGTTGTTATTGTTATTATTTCTGACTTATGGTGACCCTCAGGTGGTTGTGGTTATATTATAACTACTACTACTATTATTATTATTATTATTATTATTATTATTATTATTATTATTATTATTATTTCTGACTAATGGTGGCCCTAAGGAGGCTGTGGTTATATCATCATCATCATCATCATCATCATCATTGCCACCATTATCATTATTTCTAACTTATGCTGACCATAAGGTGGTGGCTATATTATTATTATTATTATTATTATTATTATTATTATTATTATTATTATTGCTACTACTACTGCTCCTACTATTGGCCTATTGGCTGTTAGGAATAGTGGGAGTTGAAGTCCAAAACACCTGGAGGGTAGAAGTTGGCTCATGCCTGAACTAGCTTGTTGATAGTAGTAGTAGCAGTAGTAGTAGCAGTAGTAGTAGTAGAAGTTGGCCCATGCCTGATCTAGCTTGTTGATAGTTGTAGTAGTAGTAGCAGTAGTAGTAGTAGAAGAAGTTGGCCCATGCCTGAACTAGCTTGTTGATAGTAGTAGTAGCAGCAGTAGTAGTAGTTGTTGTTGAAGTTGGCCCATGCCTGATCTAGCTTGTTGATAGTCGTAGTAGTAGTAGCAGTAGTAGTAGTAGTAGAAGAAGTTGGCCCATGCCTGAACTAGCTTGTTGATAGTAGTAGTAGCAGTAGCAGTAGTAGTAGTAGTAGTTGTAGAAGTTGGCCCATGCCTGATCTAGCTTGTTGATAGTCGTAGTAGTAGTAGCAGTAGTAGTAGTAGTTGTTGTAGAAGTTGGCCCATGCCTGATCTAGCTTGTTGATAGTAGTAGTAGCAGTAGTAGTAGTTGTTGTTGTAGAAGTTGGCCCATGCCTGATCTAGCTTGTTGATAGTCGTAGTAGTAGTAGAAGAAGTTGGCCCATGCCTGAACTAGCTTGTTGATAGTAGTAGTAGTAGTTGTTGTTGTTGTGGAAGTTGGCCCATGCCTGATCTAGCTTGTTGATAGTCGTAGTAGTAGTAGCAGTAGTAGTAGTAGTAGAAGTTGGCTCATGCCTGAACTAGCTTGTTGATAGTAGTAGTAGCAGTAGTAGTAGTTGTTGTTGTAGAAGTTGGCCCATGCCTGATCTAGCTTGTTGATAGTCGTAGTAGCAGTAGCAGTAGTAGTAGTAGTAGTAGTAGTAGTAGTAGAAGTTGGCCCATGCCTGGGCTAGAAACCAAAGTAAGGCCTCTATGCTACTACCAGAACCTTGGGTTGCATGTCTTAATTTCAATAGGCTTTGCAATTTCACATATAATTGCAGAGTCTCTTCTAACAATATGGGTATTGTACAATATATAATAATGGGTTCACTATCCCAGGTTCAAGACCATGAGGACTAGAAACTTACCACATTGATCTCAGGGGAGCTCTTGACCGTTCTGGGTTCTATCCTGCAGGAGAAATACAACAACAGATACGAGAAACAATTTACTCCCAACCTCTCATTGGGTTATAGCAGTTTGGACTGCAATGCCCATCATCCACAGAAAGGAACAGTGTCGTTAGGACTCACGTTGCATGGGAGAGGTGCAAGACCAACTTCTTTTGCACGTACGAAGCTTGGATCGTAACGGTGACATCCTGCAAAGGAAGTGCACAAAATGTATGGAAGATTCCCACTTTCATGGGGATCATGGGCCCCATCCCAAGCAAAAGTAAAGGACCTTCCCTACTATAAATATATATGAAAATAAACCATACTTCCTTCACCAGGAAGACAACAGCTTGGGAGTGATCCTGGACTCATCGCTGAGTCTGGAACCCCAGGTCTCAGCGGTGGCCGGGAGAGCTTTTGCGCAATTAAAACTTGTGCACCAGTTGCGCCCGTACCTCGGGAAGTCTGATCTGGCCACGGTGGTCCACGCTCTTGTTACATCCCGAATAGACTACTGCAATGCGCTCTACGTGGGGTTGCCCTTGAAGACTGTTCGGAAACTTCAACTAGTCCAGCGAGCGGCAGCCAGATTGCTCACCGGAGCGACATACAGGGAGCACACCACCCCCCTGCTGTGCCAGCTCCACTGGCTGCCGATTCAGTTCCGAGCACAATTCAAGGTGCTGGTTTTGACCTACAAAACCCTGTACGGTTCCGGTCCAGTGTATCTGTCCGAACGTATCTCCCTCTACGTCCCACCTCGGAGTCTGAGATCATCTGGGGAGGCCCTGCTATCGACCCCACCACTGTCACAAGTGAGGCTGGTGGGGACGAGGAGCAGGGCTTTCTCAGTGGTGGCCCCTCACCTGTGGAACTCACTCCCGGGGGAAATCAGGGCATCATCATCCCTCCTCGCCTTTAGGAGAAGGGTGAAGACTTGGTTATGGGACCAGGCCTTTGGGCACTCCGGCAATTAAATCAGACAACCAGGCGAGTAAGACCAGCAGGATTGATGAAGTGGAACGTAAAACTAGATCTATGAGTAGCGAACGCTGACCATGTAAGAGGAGAAACTGGGTTTGTATTTGGTTTTATTGATTTTATTGATTTTATGGTTATAATGCATATTTGTTGTTAACTGTGTATTGATGTAATTTTGTGTATGATTGTTTTTATGATGCAGGCATCAAATTGTGCCTTTGCTTTTGTAAGCCGCCCTGAGTCCCCTTCGGGGTGAGAAGGGCGGGGTAAAACCTAAAAGCATCAGATCATATAATATCATCTATATATATAAATTTGTTAGGGGCATCCAATGGAGAAACAAAACTCAAAACCCCCCAACGAAACTTAACCAAAATTCCCATGCCCATAACACAACCCACAAGGTACAAACATATCTACTCAAAATGAAAAACAACACAACAACACACTCACAAAACGGCAAAACAACAAAACTCAAAAATCCTCCAACGAAACTTAACCAAAATTCCCATGCCCATAACACAACCCACAAGGTACAAACATATCTACTCAAAATGAAAAACAACACAACAACACAATCACAAAATGGCAAAACAACAAAACTCAAAAAACCCCAACGAAACTTAACCAAAATTCCCATGCCCATAACACAACCCACAAGGTACAAACATATCTACTCAAAATGAAAAACAACACAACAACACACTCACAAAACGGCAAAAGAACAAAACTCAAAAAAACCCCAACAAAACTTAACCAAAATTCCCATGCTCATAACACAACCCACAAGGTACAAACATATCTACTCAAAATGAAAAACAACACAACAACACACTCACAAAACGGCAAAACAACTGAGCATGCGCATTGGCGCCCAGCCGCAAGTTCCCTGGTGCGCGCACATGGCCTTCCGGCCAACGTTCCCTCTGCGGAAACCATGCCCACTCCAAGCCCCGCCGCGCCGCTTCCCGCACACACACACCCCCTGCCGCACACACACACACAACCCCACACTCCATCACTCCCCCCGCCGCCGCACACACACACGCAACCCCACACTCCATCACTCCCCCCGCTGCCGCACGCACACACACAACCCCACAAGGAAGGAGGGAAAGAAGGAGAGAAAGAGGGAAGATTGGCCACAGCAACACGTGGCGGGTAAAGGTTGTTATTTCTATTATTATTATTATTATGCTATTGTTCCTATGAGACCCTTTTAGGGGGAATGGGAGAGGTGTCAGGTCCCAGAGGCAATGCACTGCATTATTGTTATTGTTATGATGGTGGTGAAATAAAAGGAAATAAAAAGTGAAAGAAGGAAGCAAACAGGGAGGGAAGAAAGGCAAAGGAAGGAAGGGGGAGGGAATGAAGGAAAGAGAGAAGGATGAAACCAAGTAGTGAAAGAAGGAAAGAAAGAAAGAGGTAGAGAAGGAAGAAAGGAGAGAAAGGGGGAGGAAAAGGGGGAAGGAATAGGTAGGTACCTCTCTTTCATAATAGTCCAGATATCTACCTCAACTTTGATAAGTTTTACTATAGGCCACAGCAACGCGTGGCAGGGCACAGCTAGTAAATAAATAAATAAACAGCCACTAGACTCACCTTCTCAAAGTACAGAACCGTGGAAGGCCCTTTTCTTTGCGGAGAAATGGCCAGCTCCACCGCCACGGAGGACTCCACCACCGTCCCTGTGGGTTGGAGGGAGATCTGAGGGGCATCCAGGCTCCACACTTTGGCCACGGAGTCATTGTAGGAAGCACCCTGGAAAATCTGGATGGGAAACAGTTAGTATTTGGATTGGAGACACCGCAGAGTCTTGGTCACAGTTATCAGAGATTTTATATCATCACTATACAGAGATACTCACAAAGTAAGCTAGACACTCACACAAGAGAATAGCAATGGATTATAGATGGCAGAGTATCAAAGATGGCAGAGAGCAAGAACATGGCAAATAGGAAATTCACATACAAGCCACTCATTCTTTGTATTGTCGAAGGCTTTCATGACCAGTATCACTGGGTTGTTGTAGGTTTTTCGGGCCATATGACCATGTTCTAGAAACATTATCTCCTGACCTCACAACCTTCTTAGGAAGTTTGCCATAGATGCAGGTGAAATGTCAGGAGAGAATGCTTCTTTCTTCCAGGAATAAGTTCACCTACAAGCCACTCATTCTTTGTATGTCAAAGGTTTTCATGGCCGGAATCACTGGGTTGTTGTAGGTTTTTCGGACTATATGGCCATGTTCTAGAAGCATTCTCTCCTGACCTCACAACCTCTGAGGATGTTTGCCATAGATGCAGGCGAAACATCAGGAGAGAATGCTTCTTTCTTCCAGGAATAATAATAATAATAATAATAATAATAATAATAATAATAATAGTATTTTGTCATGTCAGGAGTGACTTGAAATGTCAGGAGAGAATGCTTCTTTCTTCCAGGAATAATAATAATATTTATTTATTTTTGTCACGTCAGGAGCAAATTGAGAAACTGCAAGTCGCTTCTGATGTGAGAGAATTGGCCGTCTGCAAGGACGCTGCCCAGGAGACACCCGGATGTTTTGATGTTTTTGCGGGAGGCTTCTCTCATGTCCCCGCATGAGGAGCTGGAGCTGATAGAGGAGCTCATCCGCGCTGTCCCCGGATTCAAACCTGCGACCTGTCGGTCTTCAGTCCTGCATAAGGGTTTAACCTACTGCGCCACGAGGCGCAGTAGGTTAAATATTATTATTATTATTATTATATTATTATAATAATTATTATTATAATAATATAATAATTATTATATTATATTATAATTATTTATATTATAATATATTATTATTATTATAATATTATATAATAATAATTATAATAATAATTATATTATGTTATTATTATTAATAATAATTATTATTATAATAATAATAATAATAATTATTACTATTATTATTATTATTATTTATACCTTGCCACCATCTCCCGGAAATGACTCAGGGTGGCTCGCAATAAGCACACCATAGTGCTGCAACAAACAGCATACATTTACATAAATAACATACATTTGTATAAAAAAACATGCATTTACATAAAACAGGATACTAATACAACCCTACCAATTTAAATATTGAAAAGATGCAGCAAGCTGCAGATAAAAACAAGACATGACTTAGTTATACCACGAGGATCATGTCTCTACTTTCTTGACCCTTTCAGGGGACTGTACTGTGAACACATGTCTATAAGAACTGTATTTTTCCACACACTGGAAGTACATGAAATGCATTCCTATTAGGCCTGGGTAACAACGGAAAAATTTGTTTCTAAAATCGATTTGTATTTGGGGTTTTTTTTGTTTCGATATTTAAAATAATTACAAAATTTTCCTTTTAAAAAGTTCGATATTTACGAAATTTCGTAAATGGTAAAAAATTAACGAATCGATTTCCGAAACAATAACGAATCGATTCGTTAATGGCGGACGCGACCGCGAAATACGCTAAAAAACCTCCAAAACCTTCTGAAGCTTCCCTCTCCCTCTGTTGTTGACTGTTGGTGTGATATTATAATTTTTTTTCACTAATTAAACCATAAAACTGGCCCAGACATGCGGGAAATAATAACGAAACGACCTCAAAACAATAACGAAACGAATACAATATCGAAATACGAAGCATTTACAAAACGTTTTTGAAAATTCGTTTTTTTTAATAATTGCTCCAGAATGGTTCGTTATCGTTTTGTAATTGAAAAAATTAACGAATTATTAACGAATTACGAATTAACGAAACGAAACCGCCCAGCCCAAATTCCTATCTAATACAGCATTTTTCTACCTGACAACATGCTATATTTCCAAAGGAGAAACCAATAAAAACCACTAAAGCAGTGTTTCTCAACCTGGGGGTTGTCAAAGACCATCAGAAAACACTGTTTTCTGTTTCAATAACTTCCCAAGAAGGGGGAGACACAAATAATAACTGAGGTGAATAGAAGAAATTCTGTTATTAATTCCTTCTCTGTCTGTCAATAAATACCCTTGGCGTCTCCACTAAACCGTTACCATACCTCTTGCAGGATCCCATGGTGAGCTTTCAGCTCTTCGCTTTCCAACATTCTCTGGAAAGAGAGACAGAAAGAAAGGGAATTAAAAAGATGTCAGGAAGTAGAGAATCTTATTGTTATTGAGGACAGGGAACAACAACGACAACAACAACAACAACAACAACAACAACAACAAATTTTATTTATTTATTTGTCGTGTCAGGGCAACCAGTCGACTATATTACATTTCTAACAAAACAAAGCAAACAAACAGACAAAATATAAAATTTGTGAGTTTGGTAGTTGATCAAATGTCCTTTGACCAGTCTCTGGCCACTTGGAGTGCTCTGGTGTTGCCGCAAGAAGGTCCTCCATTGTGCATGTGGCAGGGCTCAGGGTGCATTGCAGCAGGTGGTCAGTGGTTCGCTCTTCTCCACACTCGCATGTCGTGGATTCCACTTTGTGGCCCCATTTCTTGAGATTGGCTCTGCATCTCGTGGTGCCAGAGCGCAGTCTGTTCAGCGCCTTCCAAGTCACCCAGTCTTCTGTGTGCCCAGGGGGAGTCTCTCATTTGGTATCAGCCATGATTGAGGTTCTGGGTTTGAGCCTTCCACTTTTGGACTCTCGCTTGCTGGGGTGTTCCAGCGAGTGTCTCTGTAGATCTTAGAAAACTATTTCTTGATTTAAGTCGTTGGCGTGCTGGCTGATACCCAAACAGGGGATGAGCTGGAGATATCTCTGCCTTGGTCCTTTCACTATTGGCTGCTACCTCCCGGCGGATGTCAGGTGGTGCAATACCGGCTAGACAGTGTAATTTCTCCAGTGGTGTAGGGCGCAGACATCCCGTGATAATGCGGCATGTCTCATTAAGAGCCACATCCACTGTTTTAGTGTGTGAGATGTGTTCCACACTGGGCATGCATACTCAGCAGCAGAGTAGCATAGCGCAAGGGCAGATGTCTTCACTGTGTCTGGTTGTGATCCCCAGGTTGTGCCAGTCAGCTTTCGTGTGATATTGTTTCTAGCACCCACTTTTTGCTTGATGTTCAGGCAGTGCTTCTTGTAGGTCAGAGCACGGTCCAGAGTGACTCCCAGGTATTTGGGTGCGCTGCAATGCTCCAGTGGGATTCCTTCCCAGGTAATCCTCAGAGCTCAGGATGCTTGTCTGTTCTTAAGGTGAAAAGCACATGTCTGTGTTTTAGATGGATTAGGGATCAGCTGGTTTTCCCTGTAATAGGCAGTAAGAGCACCTAGAGCTTCGGAGAGCTTCTGTTCAACCATCTCAAAGCTCCCTGCTTGAGCAGTAATGGAACAAAAATTGTTTTACATAGTGTTATTATCGTAACAACAACAACAATAATAACAACAACAAATTTATTACAAACTGAACAGATCAGGTATAACTTTGTAAACGTTTGTTGCAATTCTACCCTCAAGACCCTATTAAACATCTACTCAAATCTCAGCCCAAAATAGTAGGGCATCCCATTGGAATCGCTTTCTTGGCAACCTCGAGTTGAAACGAATGGTAGAATTCTGCCCGATGTTCCCGCACGATGCTCTTCTGAAGGTTCTCATACAGAAATAGGATGGCACGGGACTTACCTGCAATTCCTCCCCGGCAAGCGTCATTTCCAAGCGTCCGTCCAGAAAGGCTGCCAAGGCCAAAGAGTTCAGAACGTGGTCTGAAAACCAGAAGTAGAGCATTCGGGATTCGGAAAGCAGAGACGGTGCAAATGTCGACTTCTGTGAGGTGCCGGAATGGTTTTTGTACAGGAGAAGGCCCTGTGCGAGAGAAGAGAACGACAATTGCACAAACATTGCTAAATAAGGCATTTTCCAAAATTCCCCTCTTATTAATGCCTGAAACCTATGTTTTGATGGGACTAGTTTACAAAATGCAGATTAAAATACATGTTAAGATATTAATAAAAATATAAATTATTATCATCATCGTCATCCCTCTTTTTTCCAATAGTGAGGGCCACTGTAGTTTTCAAACTACAGATTGAAATCCATGCAAGGACATTAATAGAAATATAAATTATGATTCTGATTTTCATCATCTCTCCTTTTCTCCAATACTGAGACTCATGGTAGTTTACAAAATACAGATTGAAATAAAATAAAAGAAGATTTGATTCTTCGCTCTTCGTGTGGTGTGTTTTAAGTCAGAGGGCTTCTTCTGCACCTGGAATGTAACACCTACTCACATTTGCATGTTTTTGAACTGCTAGGTTGGCAGGAGCTAGAGTTAACAGCAGGAGCTCATCCTGATCTGTGGTTTCAAACTGCCAACCTTTATGTCAGCAGATTCAACAGTTCAATAGTTTAACCCATTGCACCACCACCACCCACAAGAGCTGTATAGAACAGTGTGTAACTTCGTGCATAGGATTGGACAATACACAACCCTAATGGAAAAACTTCCATTATACAAGATCTAATTCAAGAAGAACGAACTGACCTGGCTTGTATAATGGAGACCTGGCTGGACGAGGGAGGGGGGTAAATCTCTCCCAACTCTGTCCACCTGGTTACTCTGTTCAGCACCAACCAAGGCTTGGAGGGCAGGGAGGCAGAGTCGCAGTGGTCTATAAGGATTTTATTCCCTTGATCAGGTGTCCCATCCCACAGTCATCTTCTTTTGAATGTGCTGGCTTTAGGATAGGTGACCAGGACAGGATAGGGATTCTGTTAGTGTACCGACCACCCCGCTGCACTACAGTCTCCCTACCTGAGCTAGCAGGAGTGGTCTCGGACATGGCGTTGAGCTCCCGATGGCTTTTATTCTTGGGAGATTTCAATATCCATGCCGAGGCCTCTCTCTCTGGTGCGGCTCAGGACTTCATGGCCGCCATGGCAACAATGGGCCTGTCCCAATTAATATCTGGTCCCACCCATAGTGCCGGGCACACATTGGATTTGGTCTTTTCTCAGGGATGGGATGAGGGTGACGGGATGGAGGAGCTGACCATCGTTCCATTGCCATGGACCAATCACCACCTGATCAGGTTTAGACTAACTGTGCCTTCTAACCTCCGCAGGGGTGGTGGACCCATTAGAATGGTCCGCCCCAGGAGACTTATGGATCTAAATGGCTTTCTGATGGCTCTTGGGGATTTTTCCACCTCCTTGGCTAGTGACTCTGTCGATGCTCTGGTCTCTCGCTGGGATAGTGGGGTTGCCTTTGAAGACTGTTCGGAAACTCCAACTAGCCCAGCGGGAGGCAGCCAGACTGCTCACCGAGCATCATACAGGGAGCATATCACCCCCCTGTTGTGTCAGCTCCACTGGCTGCCGATCCAATTCCGAGCACAATTCAAAGTGCTGGTTTTGACCTACAAAACCCTATACAGTTCTGGCCCAGTGTATCTGTCTGAACGGATCTCCCTTTACGTCCCACCTCGGAGTCTAAGATCCTCTGGGGAGGCCCTGCTCTCGACCCAGCCTCTTTCACAAGTGAGATTGACAGGGACGAGGAGCAGGGCCTTCTCAGTGGTGGCCCCTCACCTGTGGAATTCACTCCCTGGGGAAATTAGATCAGTGACATCCCTCCTTTCCTTTAGGAAAAAATTGAAAACTTGGATTTGGGACCAGGCATTCAGACATTCTGGCAGCTAAAGAAAGGACTTGACGATGGACAGGAATTGACTAAACGGAATGGAATTATGGAACTCTGAAAGATCAACGCTGAATATGAGATTTAGTTTTATTAATTGTGTTATGTACCGACTGTTTTAACTTGCTAATTGTTTTAACTGCTGTTTTGTATGTATGTATATCTTGTGTAGGCATCAAATCGCCCTGAGTCCCCCCTTGGAGGTTGAGAAGGGCGGGGTAGAAGCACCCAAAATAAATAAATAATAAATAAATAAAGGAAGATCTTAGCTACTAAAAACAGCATATTTTTTTTGTTTTCTGGTTGAGAGGCCAAACTGCCTCTTCTTACCTTATGATGCGATTCCAGGTAGTTTGCATTTATCACCGGTTGTGCCGTTAGGGAAATATCCATTCCGATATCTCCGTCTTGGATGAAGTTTGCTGTAGGGGAGGTTAAAAAAATAACAATGCATCATTATTATTTTCAATATATATATATATATATATTCCATCAGCGCTGCCTCTGAAAAAATCCTGCAAATCTCTTGGGAAGACAAGTGGACAAATGTCAGTGTGCTAGAAGAAGCAAAGACCACCAGCATTGAAGCGATGGCCCTCCGCCATAAACTCGACTGGACCAGCCATCTTGTCCGGATGCCCGACCACCATCTCCCAAAGCAGTTGCTCTACTCCAGTGGTTCTCAACCTTCCTAATGCTGCGACCCCTTAATACAGTTCCTCATGTTGTGGTGACCCCCAATCATAACCCTAACATTATAAATCGCCATGTAAACAATGATCTGCAGAATGTATTTTCATTCACTGGAGCAAATTTGGCACAAAAACCTGTATGCCCAAGTTTGAATACTGGTGGGGTTGGCGGGGGGATTGATTTTGCCATTTGGGAGGTGTAGTTGCTGGGATTTATAATTAACCTGTAAACAAAGAGCATTCTGAACTCCACCAACAATGGAATTGAACCAAAGTTGGCACACAGAACTCCCATGACCAACAGAAAATACTGGAAGGGTTTGGTGGGCATTGACCTTGAGTTTGGGAGTTGAAGTTCGCCTATATCCAGAGAGCACTCTAGACTCCAACAATGATGGATCTGGACCAAACTTAGCACGGATACTCCATATGCCCAAATGTGAAAACTCGTGGGGTTTTGGGAAAATAGACCTTGGGATTTGGGAGTTGTACTTGCTGGGATTTATAGTTCACCTACAATCAAGGAACGTTCTGAACCCCAACAATGATGGAATTGGGCCAAACTTCCCACACAGAGACCCCCATGACCAACAGAAAATACTGTGTTTTCTGATGGTCTTTGGTGACCCCTCTGACACTCCTTCGTGACCCCTCCAGGGGTCCCGACCCCCAGGTTGAGAAACACTGCTCTACACCGAACTCAAGAACAGAAAATGGAATGGTGGAGGACAGGAAAAGAGATTTAGAGATGGGCTCAAAGGCAACCTTAAAAACTCTGGCATAGACACTGAGAACTGGGAAGCCTTGGCCCTTGAGCGCTCCAGCTGGAGGTCAGCTGTGACCAGCAATGCTACAGAATTTGAAGAGGTACAAATGGAGGGTGAAAGAGAGAAACGTGCCAAGAGGAAGGTGCGTCAAGCCAACCCCGACTGGGACTGCCTTCCACCTGGAATCCGATGTCTTCACTGTGGGAGAAGATGCAGATCAAGAAGAGGGCTCCACAGTCACCTACGGACACTACACTTGGAGGACCATCATCCTCGGTCTACGAGGGATTGCCTAAGTATTCAAATGTTCTCCCCCTCTCGGCCTTAAACCAGAACCCAATGCATCTTCCATTCTGTCAGTATCTTGACATGTTCCCCAAACTGGGAAAATCCAATTATAAAATCAATTGGATGTATTGAAAACCATTGAAGGTTGATGATCCATAAGTTATTCATGTGCTTCCATTGCACATTGGGCTGTGCACTCAACTGTGCCGCATCACAATTCACCAGTGCGCTAGGTCTTGCACAACTGTTACGTTGGACTAGGAATGAAAAATTACAAAATCTGAGCTTTTCGTAACCAAAAAAAAGGGGGCGAAATGGGGTTCTTACCTGCTCTGCCCATAATAAAATCTGCCAGGAGCTGAGACAGGAAATTGATTTCTTTACACACCTATAAAGGAAAATATATATATATATTTCTGGATTTAATCTGACTTGTTCTGAATCCACACCCCAAATAACCAAACCGAACCTAAAGTTGACCAAAAACTGATTCGTAACCCTTTTGTTACTAATGTTAGAGAGTGGTCCCTTGTCAAAAAAAGGTTGGGAATCACTGTTTTAAATTTTATGGTAATGCTTTTAATGTTCGCCACTTTGAGTATCCTTCTGGAGAGATAAAGGAGGATAGGACCGGGCTGTGGCCTCAACTAGTTAGTAGCCAGCTGCATTAAATCACTACTGACCGAGAGGTCACAAATTCAAAGCCAACCCAGGTCGGAGTGAGCTCCCAACTATTAATAGTCTAGCTTGCTGCTGACCTATGCAGACTGAAAGACAGTTGCATCTGCCAAGTAGGAAACTTAGGTACCGCTTTATGCAGGGAGGCTAATTTAACGAATTTATGACACCATAAAGCCTTCTAGCAGTGCGGACTCATATGAGGGGCCTTCATTAAAGATTTCCCCTGACCCACTTCTATTTATCACAGGACGCTGAAACTACACATGTGTAAGGTAGCTAGTTGAGAGCCAGCTGCATTAAATCACTATTGACCAAGAGGTCATGAGTTCGAAGCCCGCCCAGGTCGGAGTGAGCTTCCGGCCATTAATAGTCTAGCTTGCTGTTGATCTATGCAGCCCGAAAGACAGTTGCATCTTCCAAGTAGGAAACTTAGGTACCGCTTTATGCGGAAGGGCTAATTTAACTAATTTATGACACCATAAAACCTTCTAGCAGTGCGGACTCATACGAGGGGCGTTCATTAAAGATTTCCCCTGACCCACTTCTATTTATCACAGGACACTGAAACTACACATGTGTAAGGCAGCTAGCTGGGAGTCATCTGCATTAAATCACTAGTGACCAAGAGGTCATGAGTTTGAAGCCAGCCCAGGTCGGAGTGAGCTTCTGGCCAATAGTCTAGCTTGCTGTCGACCTATGCAGCCCGACAGTCAATTGCATCTGTCAAGTAGGAAATTTAGATACTGTTTTATGCAGGGAGGCTAATTTAACTAATTTACGACGCCATAAAACCTTCCAGCAGCATGCGTAAGAATGAGGAAGTACTCCATCAAGGACTCGGTGTCACAAGTGGATGGTGAAGCGGCAGCTCCCCCTGTGGCCGGAATCGAGCATATCCTCACGGAGCCAGAAAAGCTGGAATGTTAAATTGCCTCTGTGTCTGTCTATATATGTTGCATGCCGGGTTTCCCCAAAACACACTGATAATTATTATATAGACCAGTATCATTTTTATTACTATCATTATTATATACACCAGTATTAATATTATATTAACCCACTACGCCCCCGGTGGTGCAGTGGGTTAAACCGCTGAGCTGCTGAGCTTGTTGACCGAATGGTCGCAGGTTCAAAACCAGGGAGCGGCGTGAGCTTCTGCTGTCAGCCCCAGCTTCTGCCAACTTAGCAGTTCGAAAACGTGCAAATGTGAGCAGATCAATAGGTACCACTTCGGCAGGAAGGTATCGGTGCTCCGTGCAGTCATGCTGGCCACATGACCTTGGAGGTGTCTGCAGATAACGCCGGCTCTTCGGCTTAGAAATAGAGATGACCACCAACCCCCAGAGTTGGACACGGCTGGACTTAATGTCAGGGGATAACCTTTAGTTTTACTATTAATATGAAATAGATTATATAGACCAGTGTTTCTCAACCTTCCTAATGCTGTGACCCCTTAATACAGTTCCTTATGTTGTGGTGACCCCCAACCATAACATTATTTTCTTTGGTACTTCACAACTGTAATTTTGCTACTCTTGTCAATAAATATCCGATATGTGGGATGCATTTTCATTCATTTGGAACAAATACTCGATACACCCAAATTTGAATACTGGTGGGATTGAGGGGAGGATTGATTTTGTCATTTGGGAGTTGTAGTTGCTGGGATTTATAGTTCACCTACAATATCAAAGGGCATTCTGAACTCCACCAAGGATGGAATTGAACCAAACTTGGGACACAGAGCTCCCATGACAACCAGAAAATACTAGAAAAGTTTGGTGGGCATTGACCTTGTGTTTTGGAGTTGTAGTTCACCTACATCCAGAGAGCACAGATGCATCTGGACCAAACTTGGCACGAATACTCAACATGCCCTAATGTGGACACTGGTGGGGTTTGGGGAAGATAGACCTTGACATTTCGGAGTTGTGGTTACTGGGATTTATAGTTCACCTGTAATCAAAGAGCATTCTGAATTCCACCAATGACAGAATTGGGCCAAACTTCCCACACGGAACCCCCATGGCCATCAGAAAATACTGTTCAATGTATTGTCGAAGGCTTTCATGGCCGGAATCACTGGGTTGTTGTAGATTTTTTTTCGGGCTATATGGCCATGGTCTAGAGGCATTCTCTCCTGACGTTTCACCTGCATCTATGGCAAGCATCCTCAGAGGTAGTGAGGTCTGTTGGAACTAGGAAAAAGGAACTAGGAACTAGTTCCAACAGACCTCACTACCTCTGAGGATGCTTGCCATAGATGCAGGCGAAACGTCAGGAGAGAATGCCTCTAGACCATGGCCATATAGCCTGAAAAAACCTACAACAACCCAGAAAATACTGTGTTTTCTAATTGTCTTTGGTGACCCCTCTGACACCCCCTCGCGACCCCCCCAGGGGTCCCGACCCCCAGGTTGAGAAACACTGATATAGACCATTATTATTATTATTATTATTATTATTATTATTATTATTATTATTATTTACACCATTACTATTATTATTTCATAGACAATGGAACAACAAAAATATTGTTTACATATATTACATAAATTACATATATTAGAAACCAGCTCTTTCTCTTCCATTTTACTAGACTGTGCCACAGCAACACATGGCCAGGAACAGCTAGTCTACTATAAATATAGAATAAGTAAATATTTGTGTATATTAAATAAGTATATAATACTTATTATATACTTATGCCTTATTCTTACCTGGTTTTTGAGAACTAGCTTCAATGTGAAAGAGATGAAGTTTGTAAAAAGCTGCTTTAACCATCCTGGACTGAATGGGGACAAAAGGAATGCGAGCATTAAAAGCAATATTTAGGCCAAAATATAGTCAATTTTAGGACAATACAGTGAGTAAACATGTGGAGGAAAACTTCAGACAGGTGTTAGTCAGTTGCTAAGTTGTTCCTATGCAAGTAAGAATGATGAATTCACCTATTATTATTATTATTATTATTATTATTATTATTATCATTATTTACCCACCAGGTACAACATAATTTAAAATATATAGATACAACAAAGGGTCGTTAAAGTACATACATTGTATTTCTTCACTACGCCATTGACTGCAAGATGCACCCTAATTTCGGTCTCACCACCAACAATAAAAATACATTAGATGCACCTGCAATTCTAAGACGCACCCCATTTTGGAGCTGTTTCTATCACTGGTCTTAGTATGGAAGAAATAGGGCTGACCCAGGATGATGGGAGTTGTAGTTCCAGAGAACACCGTGAACCCCACCAGCAATAGATCTGGACTTAGCACACAGACCCATCACGATAACTTAAAATTTGTAGAGGTTTGGAGGAATTGACCCAGAATAATAGGAGTTGTAGTCCATCCATATCCAGAGAACACTGTGAATCCCACCAGCGATGGATCTGGACCAAACTTGGCATAGAGACCCATCATGACCAACTTAAAATCTGTAGAGGTTTGGAGGGAATTGACCCAGAATAATGGGAGTTGTAGTTCATCCATATCCAGAGAGCACTGTGAATCCCACCAGCGATGGATCTGGACCAAACTTGGCATAGAGACCCATCATGACCAACTTAAAATCTGTAGAGGTTTGGAGGGAATTGACCCAGAATAATGGGAGTTGTAGTTCATCCATATCCAGAGAGCACTGTGAATCCCACCAGCGATGGATCTGGACCAAACTTGGCATAGAGACCCATCATGACCAACTTAAAATCTGTAGAGGTTTGGAGGGAATTGACCCAGAATAATGGGAGTTGTAGTTCATCTATATCCAGAGAGCACTGTGAATCCCACCAGCGATGGATCTGGACCAAACTTGGCACACAGACCCATCATGACCAACTTAAAATCTGTAGAGGTTTGGAGGGAATTGACCCAGAATAATGGGAGTTGTAGTTCATCTATATCCATAGAGCACTGTGAGTGCCACCAGCGATGGATCTGGACCAAACTTGGCACACAGACCCATCACGACCAACTTAAAATCTGTAGAGGTTTGAAGGAATTGACCCAGAATGATGGGAGTTGTAGTTCATCCATATCTAGAGAGCACTGTGAATCCCACCAGTGATGGATCTGGACCAAACTTGGCACACAGACCCATCACGACCAACTTAAAATCTGTAGAGGTTTGGAGGAATTGACCCAGAATAATAGGAGTTGTAGTTCATTCATATCCAGAGAGCACTGTGAATCCCACCAGTGATGGATCTGGACCAAACTTGGCACACAGACCCATCACAACCAACTTAAAATCTGTAGAGGTTTGGAGGAATTGACCCCAGAATAATGGGAGTTGTAGTTCACCGACATCCAGAGAGCACTGTGAATCCCACCAATGATGGATCTGGACCAAATTTGGCGCACAGACCCACCATGGCCAACTTGGGCCTAACCTGGGCATTGTCTGGTACTTAAAGCTAGCATCATAATATAATACTACAACCGTAATAATACAATACTAACAAACCCATGTCCGCATTATGTAAGGAGGCACATACTCTTTGTCTCCTTGGAGGTGTAAAGTTAGTTCATGGAAGGTGAGGTAACAGTTGGACGTGTGCACCACCATGCGCCCGTTTTCACAAACTGTGCAAGAGAAAGAGAGAGAGAAAGACACTTCCTGAGTCTTAGGAAATAGCACAATATCCAATGACTTTCTTGCAAAATTTCTTGCCCAGGAGAAGGATATGTTTCCAAATATTTGCCTTCTTATTCCACAGTGTGACGATGTGTAACTTTTATTCTCATGTTTATGTGTTGTTTAGACAGTGGTTGATAAATGGTAAGTATGAAGGAATATATTTTGTTGGAGATGGTGGCTTGGCGTTAGCTGGGTTGCCATAGCAACAGGGGCGGAGCCAACTGCCTCTTCACGGGGCAGCTGTTTTGAAAGTCAGTCAGTAAGCCGGTGAGCTACTGGGAAGACTGAGTCTCTGGGTGGAGATTCAGGGAATGTGTCTGTAGCCGGTGTGCTATAGGGAAGACTGAATCTCTGGGTGGAGATTCAGGGAATTAATTGGTGACCAAAGGGGTTACAGAAAAGGACCCGGTAGTGATAAAACTACAGGGGGTTATTGATTCTGAGTTAAGAATCAAGGTTTGGCTGGGAGCCAATTCTGTTAATAAGCCTTTTAGCTTATTTGTTTTATTAGGACAGTTGTCCAGAAGAGTTACATCTGCTTATAGAAACCTCTTGAAGTCTGTGCCTGAGATTACTCATGAAACCTTATTAATGTAACCAATCAAGATTTGTGCCTCTTGTGAAGAAACAGTTAAACATGTTATACTCCTGTTAAAATAAACTTGTTACTGTTTTCCTCAAGCCTTGCCTGATACAGTTTCTCTTAAGACAAACAGCCTGCATAAGAAGTAAAGTCAAGCCAGGGACAGTAAACGCTACGCTATCAAATGTATAAAGCCTTCTGTAATTAATAGTCCCTTTATAAAATAGCTCCTAAGCTGATATTGATCGTTGCCCAGCTTTCCTCACACATTAGATGGCAGTAAGCTTTAACCACGCTCCTTCACACACAGCTACTTACGTACTTACCCAATTTCGTGTCTATCTGGAAATCGATGGAGGAAGTGATTTCGAAGTCAATGGAATGGATGAGTTTCAACCTGTGGCCACATTTAAAATAATGTAAACGTTAATGTGGGTTATAAGTACTTTCTGCTAGGATATCAATGGGATGATTAAAGATGCAGGGTTGCTAGAATTCACCATGATAATCAGTCTCACTATGTAATAATTACGTATGTAATATGTACAGCATGCGTCATCTATGCCAGGGGTCCCCAAACTATGGCCCGCGGGCCACTTCCGGCCCGTCAAGGGCACTTATCCAGCCCGCGGAGGAGGAGCGCCCCTCCCTTGGCTGGCTCACGCTATCCGTCAGCCCCGATGGGCAGCGTGAGCCAGCCAAGGGCAGCTGCTCCGCACGGCCTACTCGCGCATAAAGCACCTCGCGAGGTGCTTTATGCGCAAGTAGGCCGCGAGGGGCTGCTCCTCCCTTGGCAGGCTCACGCTGCCCATCAGGCCCGATGGGCAGCGTGAAGCCAGCCAAGGGAGGCTGCCCTGGCGCTCCATGCAGTCATGCCTGCCACATGACCTTGGAGGTGTCTACGGACAACACCGGCTCTTCAACTTAGAAATGCAGATGAGCACCACACCCCAGAGTCAGACACGACCGGACTTCATTTTAACTAGGAAAATTGTGGAAGATCCAGGGTGGGAGAAAGAACTCTTGTCTGTTGGAGGTAGGAGTGAATGTTTCAATTGGCCACCTTGATTACCATTTCATAGCCTGACAGTTTTTAGGGAGAATCCTTTGTTGAGAGGTGATTAGCTGGCCCTGATTGTTTCTTGTCTGGAGTTCCCCTGTGTTTGAGTGTTGTTCTTTATTTACAGTTATAATTTTAGAGTTTTTTTAATACTGGTTGCCAGATTTTGTTCAAACTAGAAATAGGAAGATTTCCCATTCTCTGCTCCTGGAATTACTGCCTCAAGAGGGCTAGAAAGAACCCCCTCCCTCTAAGGGCCCTTCCACACCGCAAAATAAGATATGGGAAATGTGCATAGGAATTTTTTATTTGATTTTTTTAAAAAAAAAACTATAGTCCATCCCTCCAACGGTCTGAGGGACAGTGAACTGGCCCCCGGTTTAAAAAGTTTGAGGACCCCTGATCTATGCTGATGATTGTACCATTACTGCTCAAGCAGGGAGCTTTGAGATGGTCGAACAGAAGTTCTCCAAAGCTCTAGGTGCCCTTACTGCCTATTACAGGGAAAACCAACTGATCCCTAATCCATCTAAAACACAGACATGTGCCTTTCATCTCAAGAACAGGCAAGCATCCCGAGCTCTGAGGATCACCTGGGAAGGAATCCCACTGCAGCATTGCAACACACCCAAATACCTGGGAGTCACTCTGGACCGTGCTCTGACCTACAAGAAGCACTGCCTGAACATCAAGCAAAAAGTGGGTGCTAGAAACAATATCATACGAAAGCTGACTGGCACAACCTGGGGATCACAACCAGACACAGTGAAGACATCCGCCCTTGCGCTATGCTACTCTGCTGCTGAGTACGCATGCCCAGTGTGGAACACACTCACCACGCTAAAACAGTAGATGTGGCTCTTAATGAGACATGCCGCATTGTCTGCGCCCTACACTGCTTAGCCGGTATTACACTGCTTAGCCGGTATTGCACCACCTGACATCCGGCGGGAAGTAGCAGCCAATAGTGAAAAGACCAAGGCAGAGACATCTCCAGCTCATCCCCTGTTTGGGTATCAGCCAGCACCTCAACGACTTAAATCTAGACATAGTTTTCTAAGATCTACAGAGACACTCGCTGGAACACCTCAGCAAGTGAGAGTCCAAAAGTGGCAGGCTTAAACCCAGAACCTCAACCAATGGCTGATACCAAATGAGAGACTCCCCCCTGGGCACACAGAGGACTGGGCGACTTGGAAGGCACTGAACAGACTGCACTCTGGCCCCACGAGATCCAGAGCCAACCTTCAGAAATGGGGCCACAAAGTGGAATCCACGACATGCGAGTGTGGAGAAGAGCAAACCAATGGAGGACCTTCTTGCAGCAACACCAGAAGCACTCCAAGTGGGCAGCTACTGGTCAAAGGACGTTTAACCAACTACCAAACTTGCAAATTTTGTATTTTGTCTGTTTGTTTGTTTTGTTCTGTTAGAAATGTAATACAATTGACTGGTTGCCCTGACACGACAAATAAATAAGTATGTTTTGACTGAAGCACAGTGTGCTGGTACAGCTGTACCAGGAGCTCCAACTTGTTTTCCTTTCTATTGAGTGTTTGCATGTATTCCAAAGTTGCAAAGAGGAAGGCGCATTAAGCCAACCCTGACAGGGACCACCTTCCATCTAGAGAACATGCGGGTCAAGAATAGGACTCCACAGCCACCTACGGACCCACCATAAAGACACTACACTTGGAGGACCATCATCCTCAGGCTATGAGGGATCACCTAAGAGAAGAAGGGACACCTAGAACTTGGAAACCCTGGCCCTTGAGCGCTATAAATGGAGGTCAGCTGTGACCAGCAGTGCTGCAGAATTTGAAGAGGCACAAATGGAGGGAGAAAGGGAGAAATGTGCATAGAGGAAGGCGCATCAAGCCAACCCTGACAGGGGACCGCCTTCCACCTGGAGAACATGCAGGTCAAGAATAGGGCTCCACAGTGACCTACGGACCCACTGAAAAGACATTACACTTGGAGGACCATCATCCTCAGGCTACAAGGGATCACCTAAGAGAAGAAGAGACACTGAGAACTGGGAAGCCCTGGCCCTTGAGCACTATAAATGGAGGTTAGCTGTGACCATCAGTGCTGTGGAACTTGAAGTGGTGCAAATGGAGGGAGAAAGGGAGAAATGTGCAAAGAGGAAGGTGCGTCAAGCCAACCCCTTCCACCTGGAGAACATGTGGGTCAAGAATAGCCACCCATGGACCCATCGCCAAGACACTACACTTGGAGGACCATCATCCTCGGGCTATGAGGGATCGCCAAATAAGTAAGTAATATGATTTGAAAAAATGTCTGTTCCTGGTTTGAAAGGGTTGTTATTATTATTATTATTATTATTATTATTATTATTATTATTATTATTATTTCCTGTTCCATTGTGTGGTAATTACTTTGAAAGTAGTTGTTCTACTCTAGAAAAGTTGTTTTTGTGCCACAAATTATGTTGAATTGGTTGAGAGTCTATAAGATATTAATTGACAAACTAGAGCAAAATATGCTGCAGGATGTCCCGCCCGCAATATTACTACTACTACTACTACTACTACTACTACTACTTATTATTATTATTATTATTATTATTATTATTATTGTTATTATTTGAAACACAACAAAATGAGTACACAGCAAAATGAGTAATAATAATAATACTTATTATTATTATTATTTGAAACACAACAAAATGAGTACACAAAATTACTACTACTACTACTTATTATTATTATTATTATTATTATTATTATTTGAAACACAACAAAATGAGTACACAAAATTACTACTACTACTACTTATTATTATTATTATTATTTGAAACACAACAAAATGAGTACACAAAATTACTACTACTACTTACTTATTATTATTATTTGAAACACAACAAAATGAGTACACAAAATTACTACTACTACTACTACTTATTATTATTTGAAACATAACAAAATGAGTACACAAAATTACTACTACTACTACTTATTATTATTATTTGAAACACAACAAAATGAGTACACAAAATTACTACTACTACTACTACTTATTATTATTATTTGAAACACAACAAAATGAGTACACAAAATTACTACTACTACTACTACTTATTATTATTATTTGAAACACAACAAAATGAGTACACAAAATTACTACTACTACTACTACTTATTATTATTTGAAACATAACAAAATGAGTACACAAAATTACTACTACTACTACTTATTATTATTATTTGAAACACAACAAAATGAGTACACAAAATTACTACTACTACTACTAAGTATTATTATTATTATTTGAAACACAACAAAATGAGTACACAAAATTACTACTACTACTTATTATTATTATTATTATTATTTGAAACACAACAAAATGAGTACACAAAATTACTACTACTACTACTACTACTTCTTCTTCTTATTATTATTATTATTTGAAACACAACAAAATGAGTACACAAAATTACTACTACTACTACTTATTATTATTATTATTTGAAACACAACAAAATGAGTACACAAAATTACTACTACTACTTATTATTATTATTATTATTATTATTATTATTTGAAACACAACAAAATGAGTACACAAAATTACTACTACTACTTATTATTATTATTATTATTATTATTATTATTATTTGAAACACAACAAAATGAGTCTACAGCAAACAAGATCACTCTGCTGGCTGTTGCATTGGATCACACATTGTATTATTATTATTATTATTATTATTATTATTAGTTATCATCAGGAAACAATAAAGTAGTAATTGCCCCAAGGTCATGGCAAGGGAGGAAACCTCGTCTCATTGTGTGACAAGGAGATGAATGTGAGAAACAATAGTAGTGCAAGATAACTGTGGCAAAGGATGTAAATATATATTCGCTGCCTTGAGTTTCTAATGGGGACAAAAGCGGAAAAGAAACAAGGATGACGATAACAAGAAATCATAAAGAGACTTTCCCATCTTCATGGAGCCCAGAGACACCTATAGCCTTATATGGGGCTTGAAATATATATATATATATACTCACAGCCAGGCGCCGACATATCCATAGCTCAGGGTCCCTTGGAAGGAGGCCGAGACGTTGTGGATTTCGATATCGATGGCGTCGTCCTCCTTGAAGTTGACCTTGCTGTCTTCTATGGACAAGTCGTTGATGTGGATGCTGTCAAAAAGGAACAGTTGGCTCAGTACACGTCAACTTCAAGTATTTTGGATTTTTTTTCCTCCATTGGTCAATGAATTGGTTCTGATTTTTAGTCTTGAACTTTAAAGGAGCGAACCAATGTGCTCAGTCTTGTTACTCAAATAAATTCAGTGAACATGGGTTCTTCCCTCCTCTATTCCTTCATCCCTTCTTTCT